ACACGCCCCCACATGTCTACGTCATGATGTGGGAAGATTTGCATAAAGCCGCCTAAATGTTCACGCAAAGAAAGAAGGTGTAACTTTTAGTCTCGCTGTAGTATTGTTGCTGCCGCCATGTCGTGAAGGCGCTGTGTGTTTCCTTGTGAAAGCGAAACTACTTTATTTGGTCTTCCAAAAGAGGACGATATCCACTTCGTCATGCCTAGAGCTGATCCGTGCTGGTCGCTGAGGAAATACATCAACTTCGCGCTGTGGATCGCCGGATCGGCTTTCACCGTGGACGAAACGGAGTCCAGCCTGGGGTCGTCACATGTGGTTGCCGCAAGCCCGCCAGCCGCTTCTTTGTCGAATCCGCCGGCCGCACCGTTCTCAAGCCCGCAGGCCTCCACTCACTCAAGGCCGCCGTGTGTGACACTGTGTTTCGTAGTGAAAGCGAAACTGCTTTGTTTGGCCTTCCAAAAGAGGACACGACTAGAAATCAGTGGTTAAGTTGTATTTACAACACTGTTCAACCCAAATATTAATTTGTGTGCAGTACATTTTATGGAGGACTGTTTCCTGATCCTGGAAGAGTAGACTACAATGCCGGCTGTTCGGACTCACAGACTGTAAGTACGTCTTTTATATTTAAAGAATTTGCCACTGACGATTCAAACGCGAGTTTTGAGCAGTGTAGAGTAGCGCTTGTTGTTTGTCATTTCCAGTGTTGGAATATTATTTTTAGCAACATCATATGACCCCTTTAACGATGCACGATTTGTTTTATGCAACAGTAAAACATGGCTGTTCACTTTCAGAAGTTGTAGTGATGCTTTCTTTTCCCTGAAATAATGTGAAACATATGCTGGTTATGTAATTTTTTTAAATATATTTTAATATAATTTAAATTGATTTTAGAAAAATAAATATTGTATCCCATATTGAATACCACATTTATTTATAATATTTAGCATGCTATCTCATATCGCTTTTTTTTTTTCAATATCGCACAGCCCTATTAAAAATGATGAATGTCCTGGTCACTGAGGTACATTAGTGTGTGTACAGTGGAGTACAAAAATACCGGTTTCAGGATCCCAAAATAATGTAAACACAATAAATACAATAATAATAATAAATAAATTTTAAAAATGAAGAAATATTTCAAAGTAAAATAAATAAGAAATATTTAAGATTCTGCACACAAATGCTCTTTATAACACTGTCAAATAAAATTGATCATTAGGTTTTGCAAAAACTAGCTCATGCAGCTCATCTAAACAAATACAAACCAATTTTAAACAAATCTAAAGAAATCTCTTTTAAATTCAACTTTTTCCATGCAAATTATTGTGCATATAATATTATAATAAAATTTAGAAAAATGTAAAATAGAATGATTCACCGTTGATCTCAGACATTTGGTCCTCACTGTATGTGTGTTTTCTGTCTTCACTGTCACAAGAGGTTTTGCTTTTGCTTAGTTTACACTACAAGTCTGTGCCTGTACTTCACGTATCTAAGCTACAGCACACAATAGTGGCAGGAGACCTTGCCTAGTCTCCTAATTCTCCATAGATCAGATTCACAGGAGTTTATCATTATTGAACTGTCATGTCACCTTAATGTAAAACACGCACATTACATGATAATTCAGGTCAAGCATGATTTACCTGTGCCTCCCTCAAACCACACATCACAGGCCTCTGATCCCAGATTAATTAATCTCTTTAGTGTTTAAGCATTAACACGTCAATCGGTTTTAAAACTAGATAACTAGTAAATAAACTAACCTGCTGGATCATGCAATAATCTAAATACTCACCAGTACTGGGTGGAAATCTGATTGTAATTCAAAGCAAAATCACCGTGTATATACAAGAGAACGAAAGAAAATTAATAATCAAAACAATACTCAAACAGAATATCATTTCAAGTGAATGACAGATCCTACATGTGCATCAATGTAAATATATTTACACTGATGCTCACGTAGTGACTGTCATTCACCCTAACGTAAATGAGATGCTTTACTCCGGAGTCCAGGCTTTAAAATACCTCATTGTCTTTTATATACGTTAAAATTTCAAATATCAACCCCCTTATGATGAAATCCGTATTTCATAACCAAGTGTTTTCAGATTATGTTTGGATGAATTTGTTTCTTTTTCATTGATCATCTAGCCAGTTATGCTAGCTCTCACTAGCCGACCGAATAAACTGTAAAAACTCCAGCGATTTACACAAAACCAGTACATGGAAACGACAAGCTTGGTTGAAATAATAGGTTATATACTCACTTTGCCGAATGTAGCGGTGGTTTCTGTGTGAAACGACACGGGTTAGGTTATTAAAGGTAAACGGGGTTTGTCTCTCTAATGCTGCTCCTGTGGACACAATGATGGAGCCGGAATGCGCATGCGCTAAACACCTCTGTTCTGTTACTGATTTAATGTAAAATCCGTTTACAGTTTTGGTACAAACGTTGCACCATGACAATAAAATTTCATTTTATGCCATTATTATTGGTAGCCGTTGGAAAACAACGGCTAGCTTGTGCCCCTTTATTGTGTATGTACAGTATGCAAGTCATTTCTCTAACTAAGCACCTTACTTTGTACTTACCAATTTTCTGCCCTTATATTTAGAGTGTTATTCTACACAGTAGCCAACAGATATTTTGTTTACATCCGCATATTAGAAATCCTCTTGTTTCCCTCTGTCTCGCCGCCACATGGTCATTTTTCCTTGTGTATCTAAAACAATGAACCTTCATGGCAGGCCATTTTAACATTGATTCCTAAAAACTATCTACCATCTATTTGACACTAATGGTGCGTTCAAGTCATGTCGGACAGATAGTATTTACGAGTTGAACGCACATGAACACCACCACAAAGTCGTTATTACGAGTGGGAAACTCGAAATTTTCTTTAAAGGGGTCCTATTATGCTTTTTCACTTTTTAAATTTAGCCCATTTATTTTTAATAGCTAGCAAGTATTCCAATAGCAAATAGCATGTTTTTCGATTTTTTTTTAACTTGTTAAAGGGTTAGTTCACCCAAAAATCGTTTCAAACCCGTAAGACCTTTGTTCATCTTCGGAACACAAATTAAGATATTTTTGATGGAATTTGAGAGCTGTCTGACCCTGCATAGACAGCAATACAATTGAAATGTTCCCAAGTCCAGAAACGTAGCAAGGTGACATCAGGGGTTCAACTGTAATTTTACGAAGCTACGAGAATACTTTTTGTGCGCAAAAGAAAAAAAATAACGACTTTATTAAAAAATTTGTCTCCTATGCGTCACCGTGTAGCGCCATTTTGGAGAGTATCCGCTGGACGTAAACAGCATATGCTGTTCTGTGTCAGCTGCGTCACACGGATATGCGGTTTTCGTTCAGATCAAATCACAACAACGTAGCAGATACGCTGTTTTCGTTCAATCAAATCACAACCACATAGGAAACAGATCCGGCGAATATTCTCGTAGCTTCGTAAAATTACGGTTGAACCCCTGATGTCACATGGATTATTTTATCTGATCTCCTTGCTACGTCTCTAGACTTGGGAACACTTCAGTTGTATTGGTGTCCATGCAGGGTCAGACAACTCTCAGATTCCATCAAGAATATTTTAATTTGTGTTCCGAAGATGAACGAAGGTCTTACGGGTTTGAAACAACATGAGGGTGAGTAATTAATGACAGAATTTAAATTTTTGGGTGAACTATTCCTTTAACAGATATTAGTTATTAGAAATTATTCAAATATGTATTCAAGTTGATTCTGGTAAACATTTTTAATTTTCCTAATAAAACTTCTACATAAAACTGTCATTATCTAGAAGTCATTATGATTAGTTGTTACATATCACAAATTAAAAAGAAAAAACTAGTGAGATACATATTTCTCTATATTGCACTAGAAAAATTTGAAAAGGAATCAGCAACAGTACAAACTAAAAAGAATAGTTCAACTCATTTGGGCAATTTGACATTTGCCATTACCCACAAAATAGTTGAGATAGCATATACAGAATATATACAGGATAATAATACAGAACCGGTTTAACTAGTTTAAACAATTAATAGTATTATTACTGAAATTAATATATTACTGTTGGTTCACTTAAAATAATATGTAAAATATATGTACTAAAACACAGACATCAGTACATTTTAAGCAACAAATTTTCAAGTGGCTTGCAACAACATTAAACCTACAGCAATGGAAAACGACTCCTGGCTCTATCTAGTGGTTATTCTGATAAATGCATTTTCATTGATCTTTATTTCTTCCATGATACCTCTTAACTTATATGTAAGCTCTTCACCGCAACAATTTACACAAACCATTGTTCAGTCAAAATAGCTTTAAAAAGCAACAAAGAAATGTATTTGATCCCCTTTTATGGGTTAAGCACATGTTTGACCAATATTGCAAAGCTGCATGTCTGAAAATAGTACTAGACAAAATAATGTGTCAGAAATACAATGATATCCATCCTACCATTTAATTTTCAAATTAACAAATTTTTTAATGTAACATAACACATATACTTTGTGTACTACACAGTCAATTGGACTTTAGCAACCTCTCGGAGACCACATCGTACCCCATAAAGGCAATCGGTACATCTGCATAAAACACACCTCAAAACAGATGCCTGATAATCAGAATAACATGTGTGATCCTCTTCTCCAGCCGCTGGGCAGGATTGAGAACTAATCGCATACAAATGGCTCTGAGTACGGTGTCCCTTCTAAAACAAGGAATTTAAGTCTTTTGATTAGTCATTAAATTGTCCTTTTAAGTCATATGCTCCTCTTCACCTTCCTCCTCTTCATCTTCACCTGACTCTTCCTCGCTATCTTCCACATCCTCGCTGTTTTCTGAAACAGATTTGGCTTTGATGACTATTTTGTCATCAACATCATCGTCCTCAACTCTGATCGACTTCCTCCTCTCCAAAACTGTTGGGGTGCACACTGTAGTGACACCCTAAATGCAAACAAATAGTCTTTTAAACACTAGTAGCGCAAGACTACATATCCTAGTCATTTTCTGCAGTAACTGTTGGCACATGGGTTTCATTGTGAGTCACAGTGACTGACAATAAGCTTAAAATGTACCAGTTTCTGTCGGCACAGTTATCTTACTTCAGTCAACAGGTACAACTGAGGTAATTTTCAGTCTGTGCCAAGCATATGCCCACAAAATCAGTGCAAAAAATGTAAAAATAATTTTTTTAAATTTTATTTTTTACTGAAATTCTTGAGCTTACCTCGCTGCATACTGAAACATTGGCTTCTAATTGGGCTTTCTTGGCTGGAATCGGAACTGCCTGAAAAAAAAAAAAAAAAAAAAAAAGACAAACTGGTCACACTAAAATACAACAATAAGCATCTGAAAGGAATAGTTCACGCAACAAAAAATTGCTGAAAATTTACTCTACCATCCAAGATACACATGAGTTTCTTTCTTCTTTGGAACAGATTGAGAGAAATTTAGCATTACTGCCCTTGTTCACCAATGGATCCTGGATGAACTGTTTCACTGGAGGAAGTGTTATTACGGACTCATATTTTGACTAGAAGTGATGGTCAAAATATGAGATAAAACGACTTAATGAGGAATCTGTTACAAACATGCAGCTTTTCAATTCACATGAGATTAAATGGACTGAGTCATGTGGATTATTATGTTTTTATCAACTGTTTGGACTTTCATTCTGATGGCACCCATTCACTGCAGAGTATGTAATGGTAAACTTCTCCAAATCTGTTCAGATGAAGAAACAAACTCTTCTATATCTTGTATAGCCTAAGGGTAAGTACATTTTCAGAAAATTTTCATTTTTGGGTCATCTATTCCTTTAAATGTTCTGATTAGAAATGACAAAATAGTACTTACAAATCCTGGGAAATCATAGTCAATGCCCTTTGCGGCCAGTCTCTTGCGTAGCTTAGACTCTTTGCTTAAAAGCTTTGTACCAACTTTCTTCAGATCATCTTCAGCATGCTGTTTGTTATAACGAGCAACTGCAGGCTGCTTTGGCTTCTTGAAGCCCAACCTGGAACCAACAAATAGCTTTTCATGGACCTTATCAGGTGGCACCACTTGACCTGAACAGGACAAAACACAGTAAAGTTTAGACAACATTATGTAAGAAAACATGCAAAACCTTTTACTCTCAACTTACACTTTATGAGCCGCTCTCCGATAAGGTAGTTGTTCATGGTCTCAGCCACAATCTTAGCAACCTCATTACACTCAAACTCCACAAATCCATAGCCTTTGCTCCATCCGGTCTGCGAAAGATGAAAGTTTAATACTTGCATTGAAATCTTCAAAGCAAGATATTGTTTACTAGTATGACTCGTGTGTTTATAGTGTTGGCACATTGGTTTCATTGTACAACAAAATGGAGTTGGCAATAAGCAAAAATTTACCTAATTACTGTCTGCACAATTATCTTAGCCAAGGCAACAAATGCCAAAGATAATTTTCAGGCTGTGCCGTTATTATGTTATGTTAAACAGATAAATTAAATTTACATAAAAGTAAACACCCCAAATTCTAATGGAATTTCTATTCATATTTGGAAGCAACCCCAAAGGGATCAAGTTTTCTTTAAGAATCCTCTTAGAATCAAACAGGACCTTATGGGGTTAACTGAATTAATCCAAGATAATCTTATGTTTCATTATAGAATTCCTATTAGAATTCTCATATTTATTTCAAATAATCATTGAAATTGCATCAGAATTCCGTTAGGATTTGTATTCAGCCACTTCCCTAATATTTACCTCTTTCTACAGAACTTATAAATTCCTTGTGAGACAAAACAATGCTCGTCTAACCCAATTGATTGTAAAACGCGTAAAATACGACTACAAGCACGTCGTACCTTTTTACTCCTGGAAACTCTTGTTCGAGTGACTTTGCCAAACTGTCCAAAGTAAGATTTTAATTGAGGTTCAAACAATCCTCGAGGCAGATGACCAGCATAAAGTACTCCAGGAGAAAGTGGCTGACCCTGAGGGGGAAATCATAATTAATATCACATTCAGGAAAAAAAAATGCTAGTAAGCTAAACACATACAAAAAAACTGAACAAAGCGCAAGCTTTGTATAGCAAATTAGTGTCGAATAAGGATTCGTCAATCCAAATAACCCTAATGGCTATTGGCTATTAATGACAACTAATTAAATGTTAAATTTAGCTGAAACCATGTTTCAAGGTGAAGCTAAATGATGGTCAGGCTAAACTGGAGCCACATGGCCACGCGTCATACCGTTTTAGGACGTTTCTTTACTTGCTGAACCTTCTTCTGAAACGCTGCATCATCCTTTGGATTCAGAGCCAGCAGAGTTTTCGCCGGCTTCTCTGATGATTTGCCTTCTGTCATTATTAAATATAAAATTGATAAAATAAATATAGCTATACGTTTTGGACGTGTGTCGTACTACCTCTCCTAAAACCACGTTGTTGCACTTCTTTCAGGAAACTGCAAAGGTTCAAGAAGACAATACAAAATAAAAGTCCGCTATATCTACAGCATTTTTAAAAATAATTTCTTACTTATTCATTTCTCTTTTCCCATTGTTCTTATGATATAGGTTGCTGTTTTATAGTTATGTTTTAATGAATTAATATTTTTCACATACATGAATAAAAATACTAACTAAATAACACTGAAAGTTTATTATGGTTAACACACTTGCCTGACTACCAGTGTGGTTTTACTGTGTTCGCTTGTTCATGCTTGTTCATCGTTTTACTAACTGCAAAAAATGCACTGATTTAAAATGTGAAAGAAAGAAAAAGCATTATTAACACTAGTTGTTAACAAGGACTAGATTAATTTAAAATACATTAAAAATTAAATCAGGTGCAAAATTTATAACTTTCGAGATAAATTTAAGGAAACATTTGCTTGAATCCATATTAACAGAAATACAGAGCAGGTTTGAGGATGAAGGGGGCTGACCCCACAGAGATGGTTTAAAAACGGGGCGGGGTTTTGAATGAATGATAGGCTGAATCACTGATGTAACACTGTACACATCGATCAGCAAAGGTGAGGGTGCAACAGATTATTATTACCTGACATGGCAACTAAAATAATTTATTTTACCGTGAATGGAAGACCAGAACAAGCTGAGTTTCCCATTGACTGTCCTGCACAAGATGTTAAAGGTAAGGATTGTTTCAAATATATTTCTCATAGTCTAACTAGAATTTAACGAATTTATTATTATTGTTATTATTATTCGCTCAACAGTTCAACGTTAATCTCATTTCAATAAACTACAAGACTTTGGGTTATATTTCTATGTGTACCTCAAAGGACAGCACACCAAAAACATTTTATAAAAACAATGTTATACATTTTATTTAAAAAGTATTAAATTAACATAAATTATTCAATATATAAAATCATCAAATAGAATTTCTTATATGAAAATATTCTTATATTTCTTATATGAAAAGGAGTTTTTGTTATGACCAAATTGGCTCTCTGCCCTCATTAGCTTTTATTCTGCTGAAAACAAGCTTGAGGACTCTTCTCATTCTCAAGGGCAATGACAACAGCCAGGCTTCTTTAATCAGGTCCTCTCAATTACAGCGAGCCCATATGAAGAGCTATTCTGTTGACCTGGACAGCTAATACAACATAAGGGATGCTCAGATGATGATCTTATTTTTTAATCTTTCTTTTTTATATGAGACTCCAATTCTCTAGAGAACTATCAGACTGCTAATTAACTTTTTATCTTCCATATTGACTCATGGGTGAATTTGTAGTCACAGATTGTGAGTCAGAAACAAATAAACTGTCATACTTCAGTTTGCCAGCTTGAGTCACAGGTGGTGCAGACAGTCAGTCAGTCTTCAAGTGCCAAGCAGTGCCCTAAAGGAAACATATGGCATATTCAATACAAGTCACACATAATAAAGTGCTTTAATTGCATGACTTGAGGAAATTTCCATGTACCTCAGTTACGAAAATGAGAAATGTGATGATGAATTATATATGCCACATTAATGAAAATGTGTGTGTGTGTGTGTGTGTGTGTGTGTGTGTGTTTGCATCACAGATCTTTTCCGAGCAGCAGCTGAGGCAGGACCTCATGACATCCTAAAACTCTATAATACTAAAGGCAATATCATTAATATTTCCCCTCAGCTGGCCCCAAATAGTCCTCACTCCTACTATAAACTGGAAGTGGTCGCTGCAGACTGTAACAGTGAGCTGTTAGGTATTCTCCACCTTAGCACTAGAGAGCTATTGTACTGATAAACCTATGAATAAACATAATGTGATAGATGCCACACATAACCTCTATATTTGGATCATGTTGAACTCTATCTTCTAGGCTCAGATCTGGTTGTTGCTCTGGGATTTGACCTCTCTTCTATGGAGAAAAGGTAAGGTTGGGACATATTTGAAAGGCACACTTTCTGACAAATTACTTAGAGTGACAGATTTTTCATTTTTGGTAATATTTAATAGCCATAAAAGTAGCATGCATGCATAAAACATCCTACTACCTTACAGAAATCACAGCATAAGAAATCACACCTGTCTGTGATGGTAGCATAAGAAGAGTCATGGCTTTTAGCAGTCAGAAAACTAGCCGATCAGAGAGATCCTCTGCCTGTCAATCATTTTGCACATTCATTATTACTGAACTGGTTGGCTGATGTGTCTTTAAGGATGGGGTTTTGATGAGAGAGCGGGGTTTTGAGGTTCGCAAAATTGCTTGTATGACATTTTATATGTGCCACAAAGTTTGGCTCTTATTTTATCCCAAAATACATGATAATAATGATCCAATCAAATTATTTTTAAACAGGTTACAGAGCCTGGAGAAAAGAATCCTAACTGAAGCAGCAGAGACTCCTGTCATTGTGTTTGAGATTAAGAGACAGGTGGAGTCATTCAGAGAGAAACTGGAGGTATGAGCGCTGAACTACTGTGTCTGAGATTTTCCATCTGCACCATTAAGGGAATTTAATGGATTCCATCTATAGCTTAATATTTTTGTTGAAGCAAGGATGGACTCAAATGATCAAAATTGACAGTAAAAACATATTTAAACAGCATGTATATGAAAATTCAGCTTTGCCGTCACAAAAATAAATGACATTTGACCATATATTAAAATAGAAAATAATAATTTAAAGTTTTTAATAACATTTCACAATATTACAGTTTTTAGTGTATTTTTGATCAAATAAATGCAGCCTTTGTGAGCATAAGAGATTTGTTTAAAAAAACATAAAAAAATTTTTAATTATTCCAAACTTTTGGATTTTGGTCTTACCTTCTTTCTTTCTTCTTGTTTTTTTTTCTTTGACCAGTAAATATATTAAATAAAGGAAAGTTTTCAAGTACATTCATATGTCAAGCCCTATAACACGATGTCTTTCTCTGTAGAGTGTTGAGCACCTGAGCTGGTTGGGATTGTTTAAGAACATGTCAGAAGGCACCCACAAGCCCTCCCCTTTCTACCATAAAAGAACCCTGCGCAAGACCCGTGAGGAGTGTGAGCACGTCAGGGAAAAGTTCCTCCAAATGAGGTGCTGACATTCTTGTCTCTTGTCTTTTTAAGAATCAAATATGCACAAAAGAAATAAAAGAATTGCTTCTGATTTACTTTCTATAGTCCTCTGGAGGTTTCTGAAGAGGTGAGACAGTATCTTAAAACACCAACCTTTGATAACTGGTAAGTTTTTAATATCTCTCTCACAAAACATGAAGCAGAAATGCACATATACACTTTCTTTTCCTTCTTATGTTCACCACACAGAATACTTCTGGCAATTCCCTATAATTATTTAACCTGGATATGACTTGTTTTTGTAAATAAACGGAAAACCAGGAGTCTTCCCAGTGGCTGCAGCCACATCAAAGTCCTGCACCTGTCATACATGAATAGGAAATTGTTAGTGAAGCAAAGCACAGCACTTCTAAATTAAGCATAAAGAACAAGGCGGAGATCATGCCTTTCATCTGCCCAAAGGGCCTCATATTAATATCAATGGTAATCCTGTTTGTGGTTTGCAAATCAAAAGCACTTCTTATGAGAGCAAAGGGCTGGAGCTCCGTGTTCATTAATGCAATAGTCTTCCAAGTGGACTTGTTGAAACCAGGCTTTAGCTTCAGATTAACACAACAAGATTCCTTCTAAGGGGTAACAGGAAGATAAAGATTTTGTGCTGTTGTAGGCAATGGGAGGACGCTGAGATCATGGTGCTGCTCCAGGTGATGTACACAGATCTGGACTTCATCTCCACCTTCAACATTGAGCTGGACGTGCTGCAGCAGTTCCTTTATGAAGTGTACCGACGCTACAATAACATCCCCTTCCACAACTTCAAACACTGCTTCTGCGTCACTCAGATGGTAGCCTCAGCTTCAGGATTTCTTCCAATCACTCCAATTGTCCACTTCTCCATCTGCTTGATTAATAAATGGCATGCCCCAGACAGCCATCATTTCACTCATAGCACTGCTGCCAAACGTTAATTGTAATTTTACTGGAATCAGCTGTCTGTTTCCCTTAATTGTCCCATTAAGTCTCTATCCAATGGGTCATTGTTGTAGAGAAAGAGAACATTATAGTGTGTGTGTTGTAATTCATGTTTTTGAAGGTCAGTGAAGGTTGAAAGTCAGTCATCTGTCCATCCATCCATCCTTGTGGGCCACATATATACACATTATATTACCATATATAAATAATTGTATAACACATTATAATATATAAATTCATAAATGTTAATACATATAATAGATTAATTAAATAATAAACAATTCACATTTAGAATTTGTATTTCTATTTTTAAAATGATTTTGGGTTTCGTCAACCAGCCCAACAGGAAAAGTCCTGACCACTAATATCTGTGTCCATCTGTTTGTCAGATGTATGGACTGATATGGCTAACAGATCTCAGAAGCGAGATGGACAGTATTGACCTCCTCATCATGCTAACCTCAGCCGTCTGTCACGATCTAGATCACACCGGCTACAACAATGCATACCAGGTGGGATAGCTGTTGTCTCAAGATTTGCTGCTTTTCAGTACACAGCATAAACTGATGGAAGTATGTCCTGTTTCAGATTAACGCACGCACTGAGCTCGCCTTGAGGTACAATGACATCTCCCCACTGGAAAATCACCACTGCGCTGTAGCTTTTGAAATCTTGGAAAAGGTCAAAAACTTTGGCTCTAAAGTTTTAGTAAACTTTATATTTTGAATGTTTAAGCTTAGACTTAAGGGGGTCTGAATACTTTCCGTACCCACTGTATGTAACTGACAGTAATTTGCATGCTGAATTGTGATTAGTCTTTTCTTCCTTAAAAATATGTAACCATTTATAATCATCTTCAAACTGCACATTGACTTAAGCTCTGTTTGAAATAGCATACTATTATATTACTCACTAATTCTGTACTATGGAGTATGTATTTATAGTATGCTCATTTTCTATATGCATGAAAAACTAACATTAATTATTTTTCAGACTGAAAGCAACATTTTCCGAAACTTGTCGACAGAGCAATTCAAAAGAATCAGAGAGGGCATAATTAAGTATATCATTTACTCTTCTATCATCTCAACAACCATATCCATATCAAACCAAAAACTAGGTCAAAACTGACCAGCTTCTCATCACTGCAGGTGTATTCTTGCCACTGATATGACCAGACATACTGAGATCCTCAACAAGTTCAAAGCCATTCTCCCTGTGTTTGACTTCAGCAACAAAGATCACAGAGATGTGGTAAGGACAGTGATATTCATAATGGTCAATCAATGATCAAACCAAGAAGACCCTAGCAACACCCTAACAACCACACATTTCATCATGGTGGCCAGTTAAAAGCACTCAGCTTTTAGGGCTGTTGTTGACGATGATCCACTTCCTGTCTGGCTGCTTCTTTCACAGTTGATGATGATCATGATTAAAGTAAGTGACATCTCCAATGAGGCGAGACCCATGGATGTGGCAGAACCGTGGCTGGACTGTCTGCTGCAGGAGTTCTTTAATCAGGTAAATATTGCTAACTTTGTTTAATAATCAAAGATCTCCCAGTGTCATGTTGGGAGTACAATTTTCATTTTAAACAACAGTACTTTGTGCTTTTATGTTATCTAATGCAAAAAAAAAGAGTGATATGGAGAAGTTGGAGGGTCTTCCTGTCACTCCGTTCATGGATCGAGACAAAGGACATCTCCCCACTGGAAAATCACCACTGCGCTGTAGCTTTTGAAATCTTGGAAAAGGTCAAAAACTTTGGCTCTAAAGTTTTAGTAAACTTTATATTTTGAATGTTTAAGCTTAGACTTTAAAAAAAATCTCCTTGATTTACAATGATATAGAATGTTCAGCATTTATGTGACTTTTCATTTTTTATGTAAAAATGCATTATATACAGTGGGTACGGAAAGTATTCAGACCCCCTTCAATTTTTCACTCTTTGTTATATTGCAGCCATTTGCTAAAATCATTTAAGTTAATTTTTTTTCCTCATTAATGTACACACAGCACCCCATATTGACAGAAAAACACAGAATTGTTGACATCTTTGCAGATTTATTAAAAAAGAAAAACAGAAATATCACATGGTCCTAAGTATTCAGACCCATTGCTCAGTATTTAGTAGAAGCACCCATTTGATCTAATACAGCCATGAGTCTTTTTGGGAAAGATGCAACAAGTTTTTCACACATGGATTTGGGGATCCTCTGCCATTCCTCCTTGCAGATCCTCTCCAGTTCTGTCAGGTTGGATGGTAAACGTTGGTGGACAGCCATTTTTAGGTCTCTCCAGAGATGCTCAATTGGGTTTAAGTCAGGGCTCTGGCTGGGCAATTCAAGAACAGTCACAGAGTTGTTGAGAAGCCACTCCTTCGTTATTTTAGCTGTGTGCTTAGGGTCATTGTCTTGTTGGAAGGTAAACCTTAGTTCCAGTCTGAGGTCCTGAGCACTCTGGAGAAGGTTTTCATCCAGGATATCCCTGTACTTGGCCGCATTCATCTTTCCCTCGATTGCACTGTCTGCTGCAGGAGTTCTTTAATCAGGTAAATATTGCTAACTTTGTTTAATAATCAAAGATCTCCCAGTGTCATGTTGGGAGTACAATTTTCATTTTAAACAACAGTACTTTGTGCTTTTATGTTATCTAATGCAAAAAAAAAGAGTGATATGGAGAAGTTGGAGGGTCTTCCTGTCACTCCGTTCATGGATCGAGACAAAGTGACTAAACCGTCTTCTCAGACTGGATTCATTCGATTCGTTCTCTTTCCTCTCTTCATTGAACTGGCAAATCTGTTCCCCTGTCTGGAGGTGAGGAAGTTCCCAGAGGAAAGCCTTTGTGACATTCACTAAACATTAATAAGTTAGGAGAACTCAAACAATTTGAGGAAATCCATTACATTAAAAATTTAAAGGCAAGATACTATAGGCAAAACCACTATGTTTTCAGGCACTAGTCAGTTTTGAGATTTTGGCCAATTTTGCTTCCATAACACGCCTTCTTTCAGATTAGTGGAAAGAAAACATCCAAAATACACGTTTAAGTGTTTATTTTATTACACGTCATATATTTGCATCTGTAGATTTCAGTTACCATGCAAAGATTTGAAGGCTGCTTTCTCAAAGTGAGCCTGAAATCTTCAGTAGCTCTTACATATTCCAAAGTTTACGGTTTTATTATATATTCTGAAGGTTTTTCACAGGGCCTTATTCATATAACATTCGCCTGACTTTTTATTCAAAACATGTTATTCCAAAAAAACATGTTGGATTTCCCCCCCCCCTGATTGTTTGTCAGTATTGTCTGATTTATAGAGTGATAAAAAGAGATATACAAAATCCCCTTTGTAAAAAAAACGTTAACTCTGTGATGTAAACAAAATGAAACAAGAATTTTTGAACCTGGCTTCATCTGATGTTCAGATTTCTGTTCTTGAAATGTATGCAAGTTAGTGCATATTAAATACATGCCTCATTTGCATTTCCAAGCACAGTTACAGAAAACATGCTATACAAAATGTAATGTCTTAAGGTACTGTAATTATAACGGTTTAAAAAATAAGTTAATTTCACCTGCCTTAAGTTAATAAACTTTGCGATTAAGTTTAAGATTTAGATTTTTTTCTATGCGAGTATGTTAAATAGCACTGAACTTGAAATGTTAATTAATCTAATTCATGCAGTTTGATTAACTGAGATCTGCCATGCTGTCTAGAAATAATTGAGATTATACAGAGATATAATATCGAAATGATTTTTGTTTTTTTAAGTGGTCGAGCACTACTTTTGTCTAATGTCGCTTTTAATCAAACAACAACAGTTGAAAATATGAATATTCTTTTATGCAATTCTTTGGCTCATTTTCCAGGTATTCTCAGAACAAACATTTCTAGCTCTTACTTCTGACTTTACAGCAACACATCATTGACCCTGTGCAGAAAGCCCTGGATTATTACACAGAGATGGAGAAAGCTCTGGAGAGGGAGAAACAGAACTGGGCCCAGAGTGAGAAGATGGTCAAGCCCAGCAACTTAAAAGAGCCAGAAGCTCATCCAGAACCTGGTGGAATGACAAAACCAGTCAACCTATAATCTAACCTCACACCGTTAAATGTTCATACCTATAATCAGAATGTAAATTGAGTTTCAGAATTGTGCTTTAAGGCTTAAAGTAAACTTATTTATGCTACTTTTACTAAATGTGTATATATATATTCAAACAAGGGTTGAATAGTTTCACTAAATATATACAAAGTGATAATTACAAATAAAACATAATTACAAAGTGATTAATTAACTTACATTTGGCCTTTTTCTAATTTAATATAACATTTTTCATTACAGGTTATCAACATAAAAAGTTGAGTGAAAATTGAAAAATTTAATGAATATCAGAAAGTCGTATCTCACGCTTTTGCATTAATGACAGCATCTGAAATAAAACGACTTACTAAAAATACTAAAATCACAATGTCTGCTGAGAATTGTTTTTCTTTTGTCAAGATAGTCTTGAAAATGAATGTAATTAACATGCACAGTTACCCCAGAAGATGGCGCTACTAGAAGCTACAATTTCATAGGCATGAGAGAGGAGGCTATAAATGGAACTGTACCGTTAAATTATGAAAATAGGCGATTGTCACTGCTAATTACATTATAGGAATTGTTATAAATATTGATTGAGGTTTGTCTCGGATTCTACTGTGCAACTGAAAACGTGCTATTGAAGAGTTGAGTGTCAAAAACAGTGAAAAATTTAATGAATATCAGAAAGTCGTATCTCACGCTTTTGCATTAATGACAGCATCTGAAATAAAACGACTTACTAAAAATACTAAAATCACAATGTCTGCTGAGAATTGTTTTTCTTTTGTCAAGATAGTCTTGAAAATGAATGTAATTAACATGCACAGTTACCCCAGAAGATGGCGCTACTAGAAGCTACAATTTCATAGGCATGAGAGAGGAGGCTATAAATGGAACTGTACCGTTAAATTATGAAAATAGGCGATTGTCACTGCTAATTACATTATAGGAATTGTTATAAATATTGATTGAGGTTTGTCTCGGATTCTACTGTGCAACTGAAAACGTGCTATTGAAGAGTTGAGTGTCAAAAACAGAATTAATCACAGCACTCTTTTACATTCAAATTTATTTTACAAAAGAAAACTTCATTTTACACATATATTTCCCAAAAACCAAATAGTGTCTCTTTAGTCTGACGATGCAAATGGAATATTATGCATGCAGTTTTGCATTTCTCTCAAATACCGTCCTGCACAAGTAATACCCACAATTCCATTTGAACTCCATTTGAAGCCATTAAGTTGCAGAGGCAGGTAAAGCATTAGCATGCAGCACTGTACACATTTGCATAGTAAATGGCTTTCACTTATTTTGGATTAATTTGTCATAGTCCTTTACCAACATGCCATTGCATGAAACAGAACTTAGAATCAATTATTCTCAGGAAGGAAGGGGAAAATGGTTTTATCGGGGCAGTGGTGTAATATAGGAAGTACATTGTTCGTTTTTTTTTACAAAATGAATGAATTCTGATGAGTTGTTGACAAATTTCCACAAACAATGTAAATATAGGATGAAAATGCTTAACACACCTTTAAATTAATGAAGTCCACAGAGCTCTTAAAAAGAGGCATCGAAAGAAACCTTCTGTTTGCAAAAGTTGAAAAAAACCCAAACATGTACCTTATTAAAAAGTTAAGGCATAAAGTTACTGGCAGGGAATGTATTGACTGAAATTGAAAAAAATAGTAATATGAGTCATTAATAATAATACTAATAATAATAACAGCAATGGTGGTCCTGAGTGTTGGCTACAGTACTGACACCAAAAGTGACCAAAGGACTTTGAGATGTAAGTTATGGAACACACACCAAAATGGGGGGGGGGGATTTATATATATATATGTGTAAATGCTAAAAGTGTTTTTAATAGTCAATAGTAATAATAATCATGAATATTATTTCAGAACAATACTGTCAACTGGTTCCTAATTAGCTCTTTATACATTTATAGTGTGAATCCTCACATTCGATATGCTTCTGAGAATGTTACTGAACTTGCTTTAAACAAGACAACAGAATATTATGTTTTTTTTTCTTTTATAGTTTATGAAATATTGCACATGGATAATGACGTGGGCAGGAGAAACGGGAGTGGCAGTGATCAGGGAATAAGGACACTTTACCCAAACTACATCGACTTCTACTGGCCCCTCAACTGCAGCAAGAAACTTTTACTGAATGCTTTCTAATGCTACGAACGGTTTATACTGAAAATAGCCTATGAACAGACAGAGTTTCTTTCCTACTGGTTCTGCACACGGCAAATCCAGTAGTTTATTACTAAAGCTACCTCTTCAGAACTGCTCACACGTAGAACTTACAGCAGAATGGAAACTGAATAAATCGAATCATTTCCACACCAAACATATAGTATTAACACTCAGATATGATTCAACCTCAACTATATGAAGCCACTGAAGGATATGGACCAAATGCTTTTTGCAACACAGAAAGTATAAAACTGAATCGACACTGCTTTTGTTCTCTCTCTGGGCATTACAAACACACAGCGATCTCTGTGAGAGGAAACACTGTACAACACAACACAATTAAGGTAATCAAATCAGATTGCAGAACTGTTGTGATTTGCAGTACCAAGAAACGAGTCGAGAAAAAGGCAAATGTCAAGATCCAGACAACATTTAAATCACTGTGCTAACATCAATTACAAGCATTGTTTGGAGCTGTTTATGAAACATATTTAGCATTTTTAATTGAATAAATGACAATGAGATGGAGACATATCTAATACACTAGAAAATCTGATGTTTTTTGTCAAAATCACAAAAGCCTTCAGCATAACCAAGTAGTTTTGCACATGCGAAGGCAGGAATGACACCTGATTTGTTCATCTGAGCACTTCAGTGTGTGTGAACAGCTTTTGCAAACAGGCCTGAGGAAAACAACTAAAGAAAAATTTTTACAGATAAAGCTATCAAGCAAAACAAACAATAAAAAAGCATTTCCTTTTATAGTTGTTATGTTGTATCTTAGTCTAAAGTCTAATTTCAATTCCAATACTAAGTGTACCTGCTATGGCAACCAGTAACTATACTATAGGTCAGGCACGCACTAAATAGTTCAAGACTAGTAGCAGTCATAATAATCGATGACTTGTTTCATAAAGCTTAATAGAACAGAGAAACTTTATGGTGATCCACAGACCTGACTAAACCTGATACGTTTACACGACAACAATGTACTAAAAACAGAAAAGTTTTTTCTTCGCATGTTTGAAATGTTTCGCGTATAGATGACAACATTATCAAAATGATCCCCGCTCACATTGATACTAAAACGCTGTATTATTCATTCCAGGACAGTAGTTGGCAATGTCACTTTGTAAAGAAACTCTACGCAAACACGTAATATGCTTGCGCATCACCGTTATCACAGATGTTTGTAGTTTACACAGAGGCGATAATGGTATCGTTTTCAAAAACTTGCACTTTGATTTCAAAAGTTTGCGTTTTCAGGCCCCCAAAAGGCCACTGTCATGTAAACGAACGGCCAAAACGCTTAAAACATTGGTTACACTTTATTTTAAGGTGTCTTTGTTACAGTGTAATTATACATTTAAGCACTGAGTAATATTAAATACCAACATGTACTTACTATATGGTTAGGGTTAGGATTAGTGTTTGGCTTAGGGTTACTTGCATGTACTTATGCATAATTAATTGTTATTGTAATAGTAAGTACATGTAACATGTGTAACAAGGCCACCTTAAAATAAAGTGTTACCAAAACATTTTCCATTTTTAGTTTGAAAATGGTGTTGAGTAAAAGCTGCCACATATTTTAATGACACAGGCTACTGTGCTGTTTCAGTCAGAAAACAAGAGTGTGATATGAGCTCAACAAAACCCCTGAGAATCTCACAAAACATGCTCAGGCCACATTTCACCAAAAATAAATAAATAAATAAAACCCTATAAATAGCAAAAAAAAAAATTTTTATTATTATATTTGAATGATAATTAAGCACATTTTACGCTCAAATTCTTATTCATTACCATAATATGTATAGTATTTTTTTAACCATTATTTTGAAATGAAAGGCAATACAACAAATACTATCATGATGCATAATTCTTTACAATGTAAACAAAAAAAATCTGTCTTTACAAAATCATGAGCTTAATTTTCATGAAAAAATGTCACAGTGCAAGTTTTGATGGTCCTAAAACACACTTCATTGTATTAATATTGTTTATACTTATATTTATTTGTAAATTTAGATTATTTTTTCTTTCTAGATGATTTCCATAATCTGGAAATCTTGTAAGGTTTCATGAGATTCGTTCTTTTACTATTACAACCAAGTAATAAAGTAAATTAAAATGATACAATCTACCTGATACTGGTACTCTGGCATACATTTTTGCAACAACATCCCACTTGTAGGCTTGGGCAAAGCGCTGAGTTGAACTATAGGCATTATGGTGTATGTAAAAAGGGATCATTTGTTGCTATCTTTTGTGTTCTGCTCAGAAAAGTATGTTGATACTATCTGCAGATATCATTATGAAAATAGACTGCGGGAAAAGAAACCTCTTGGAGTTTGGCACCTATGAAGAATTCCTGCTTCGTACCTGAGGCTGCTTGGGCAAAAGAAGAGACCATCTAAGATAAATACTAAGACAGGAAGAAACAAAACAGCAAATGCATTCCATTGGCTACTGAAATCTTGCAAAAAGGCTCTGTGCTGATTGGCTCTTGGCACTGTTGAGCATTTCTGCATGCCGGCACTAGTTCAGGGTGACAATTAGCATGACACCAAGAAACGTCCTGCAAATATAGACAGTGCAGGGCTTTGCTTAGCAATTAGACGCAGGGCTTAGGCCTCTACTAGGAGAAATTGGATGGACCAGATTGTACTATAGCTGTCACTCCTCCAGGAGAGCATCTTAACTCAACCATTGCAGATAAAATCAGAACCTCCAAGTGCCTGACAAGAGATGCGCAAGGGCTGCAAACAACTGCCTTACATAGACGGAACGGGTGCT